ACTAGACCTGTAGTCTATGAATCCACTCGAATGCTCCTACAGGAAGAAGTCAATAAAATTTCCTCAACAAATAATCCTACAACCATGGAACCAAAAGAGTACTGAAAAGAAGTAAGCTCTTTAGTTTCTTTGCTGCCATCAAGAAACCAGCCACCTCATCTTCAGAGGATACAGAGATCAACACCTACCTCGATGGTTCTTGCATTCCTGAACAAAGCAACCATCTAGATTATTGGAAGATCCATGAAGAAAGCTTTCCTACCCTATCTCTACTAGCCAAACGCTATCTGAGTATTCCAGCATCCTCTGTCCCCGTTGAGCGTTTGCTTTGCATCGGAGGCAAAACCCTCAGACTTGATCCCTACCGCCTCACTGAAAAGACATTTGAGAGACCATATTCATAAAAAAACACTGGACAGTTATAATATCTATAAGACTCCTTTAAAAACATATTTTTATTCTAAAACTTTGTTATTGCATCTGAAAAAATAAAAGTATTGAAATGTAATTATTTGAGCAGAAGTTTACCCAGGAAAGCTTCGAAGATTGTGTGATAGAAATAATGAAACTGAGTGTTCTTTGTAGTTTATAAGTAACTAAGCTGTATGCGTTTTAAACAAATAAACAGAATATTTATTCAAATTTTAAAAAGAAAAAATAGTATGTATACCCCAGGGATGGGGCGAATACTGGAGATCAGGAATCGAATACAAATACGAATACATAAGAATGCATTCATGAATACTTTCTCAGATAATGATAAAATAGCAGACGATAAGATTTAAATGTTTTTATTTTAAGAAACAAACTTCTTAGAAACTAAAACAAACAAAAATTGAAATTATAGCAGAATACTTGTCTGGAAATTGACGTCTTTCGTGAATACCACAATTGTATACATTAACAACTTATCTTTATTCTTAACTTAGCGTGTTTACCTTATACAGAAATATTTTGGTTATTAGTTAATCTTGGAAAACTATTACTAATGCAAATAATATTATATAATATTTCTATATTTTAATAGATTCTTAAAATTTTGTGTGTAGCATAAGCATTATTTGAAATGTTGGCAATGTCATGAACCTTCATAAGTTATTTATTATTATAATATCTTTCTAAGAAAAATGTCACTCAGTGGTTCAGGGAAAATCTTAATGACTTACAATGCTAAAATCCAAAGTTCGATTCCCCGTGATGGATATAGCTCAGATAACCAATTCTGTAACTTTGCGATAAAAAAAAACTCCTAGCAAAATTTTCGACCTGTTCATTAATTCGATGAATTGGTAGTGTCTTAAAGTTGTTTTTAAGGAAATAAAATGATACTCTCTAGCACTGGATATGATATGATACACTGGATATCCATACACTGGATACTGTACGATTGGTTAAAAGTACAGCAGGATCCTAGAAGAAGAAGAAAACAGTCATCCCTGAATAATCTTGTCAAAAACGAAAATTATGTATGTATATACAGTTATCCTTTATAATTATCATATTTATCATTGCCTTAAAGTCGTGATAATTCATGCTTCATGTGTTTTTTTCTGTAATGAAAACAACCAGAAAAGTTTACTTCAGATAAACCTGATTCAACACGTCCGTTATATTGAGATGTATAAAATTGTGCCTTGAAACTAATCTTTTCTTGGTTGCAGAAGTGCTGAACATCTTTAATGCTCTGAATGGTGTATTTTTAAATCTAGATGGAAGCATTGAAGTGGTCATTATGCAGGAAGGCTTCCTAGAAACCGAGGGCTTTCGTGGTACGCTCGCTGATAAAATAGTTTTATTTTAGAACAGTACGTGTAAAATACAAAGGAAAATCCTGAAATATTAAACTTTTTTTGAAATCAGATCAGTTCCTTTCCTTATAAATCTTCAGTGTCAGGTGTCGACAGTTGTAAAAAATAAAACTGAATATTTTTGTCGCTGAGTTTAACATTTGCATTTTACACAATACTTTTCATGCGACACAACAATAGCTTTTTTGCGAATAATTTAGTAATAATATATTATCAGGTTAAAATATCGTTGAAACTGCATGGTTTTCAACAAAAATTGGTGATTCGGAAAGTGAAAAATCTATACAATGTGTTTAACTTTGTTGATTTTCCTGATATTTCAGCAACTATTCCATACCTCTTATTTTGCAATGAATTACACTTTTCTGTGTAATCAAACACGTTTCCAACTCTCACGCCAACTGACTACTCATCGTTTGTGATCAGTCAGAAATATATGGACACCTATTTCAGTAGTATCGTATGTTATGATAATATAAAAACAGGAATCCTGGTGGTGAAACATTTCAATTCGGAATTAGATTAATTGTACCAAATGACAAATACATTTCATGAAGTAAAAGAGAAATACATTTTGACATTTTTCATTAATTCATTCTCCTTGTGTGTACCACGGTGACTCAGTGGTAATCGTATTAGCTTATAACTCTAAGAATTTCGAGTTCGATCTACTTTGAGAGCAAATAGTCCAATGTGTAGCTTTGCGCCAAAGTAAACAAACAAAAAATTTCTCTGCGTGACTTTCACTTGACGGAAACAAAGAAAATGAAATAAAATAGCATATGAGACAACAAATATAAATAAACTAAATATTTTATTTTTATATTAATTATTTGAATATGATTTTGAAAAATTATAATTACTTTAGAAATTTTACATTACTCATCAACAGGTAAACTTACGTAGGTTGAAATATCGGAGAGTGCACTAGCACCCTCTATATAGGGATGGCACGGACGCCCGTATTAAAACAATACAAAAATCATCTGGATTTTATTCTCTAGAGATCATCATAAGCTAGATATTGATACCTACCTGGATTAGTTGCTCTATCTCCGGTGTATTTGCCGCTTTTCAGCTATCCAGAGCGTCCCAAAGTCGAAAACAGGCGAATAGCCAAAACCGAGATTTTTTATTTTTGTTTATCATCATCTTTTTTCCAACAGACCTAGCGCCTACCTAGTTCTAGCAGTAACTATACTTTTATCATCATTGGATAGAGCAAAACCGCCTTCACGATCTTGGACTACCTATTATATTATTAAAAATTCATAAAGCTTTAGAATACGGTCTATGATACAGTAACCCACGTACGTCATCTTGTAAAGAAAGTAAACAAAGAAATATAAGGAAAAAAATATCGCTAAGTAAAACGTTATGTAAGACTAGCTACTAAACTTGAAAAAGGAACCAAACAAGATAGGAATGGAATTAGACATATCACTTGATCAGCTAATGATCACATAGCAGACTAAGCTGTCTCGACTTTACATGGAGAATTAAATCCCTACATTAATGGCTTCCTCACTGGCAGAACCAATAGCACAAGAATTTTCAATTGTCATAAAAGTAGTATTCTAAAGTTAACTAAAGGAAAGGTATGATGATGAAAGCTGAGCTTCTGTTCAAACACCAAGCTTTCGATAGACAAAGTTTGGAAGTCAGTAATGTAGGGATTTTATTCTCCATGTAAAGTCGAAATGGCTTAGTCTGCTATGTGATCATTGGCCAGATCAAATGATGTGTCCATTTCCATCTCTATCTTCTTTGATTCCTTTTTTCAAGTTCAGTAGCCAGCCCTACATAGCTTTTTTATTTAGCGATAATTTTTTTCCTTATACTTATAGTTATTTATTGACGTAAGGAAGAGAGTTTACAAATTATAGTTGTCATTTGGCTTAATGCAGCTCCTAAAATGTGATAACTGTATAACTTTAATTGACTTCAAGCTAAGGATAAAATGTTTTTAGAGTATTCTTCTTCCTAAAATCTCCTAATAAAATATCACGAAATTCATTACCAGTTTTAGGTGATCTTTTAAAACACTTTTCGGTCTAAAAAATTACTTTAATGTTTCGTATCTGTTTTCCTGGTATTTTTTATCGTTTTTTTTCAATGTTCAAAAGGCATTAAAAGTACTTTGCAGCAAGAAACTAATCAACTTAGATAGAATATTGATATTCATTGTACTTACTACCAGACAGAATAATTAAATCCATTGTAGTTACAACCAGATAGAATAGTTATATCCATTGTATTTATAACCAGATAGAATACTGATATCCATTGTACTTACTACAAGAAAGAATAGTAATACCCATTGTATTTACTACCATTTAGAATGGATACAGTTGATCTGACTATGTTTTTTGTACCATCTAATACTGAAGGTTTTCATGTTCGAATGTTCTTTTATGGCTCAGGGTCTACGAGAAACATTATTTGGAAGCAGCACACACGTAGGAAGCCACGAATGGTTAAAAGCTTCATTCCACTTTCGAGATCCAAATTCTGTTTTTTCTTACGGGCTTGTAGCCTCTAAGGTAGGTAAAGATATACTTGTGTAATTCTATACTGATTCTTATTCACGTGTATTGTTTAATTATTATTAATGAGATATTCACATGTATATTTTAATTATTATTAATGAGATATTCACATGTATATTTTAATTATATTAATGAGATATTCACATGTATTTTTAATTATTATTAATGAGATATTCACATGTATTTTTTAATTATTATTAATGAGATATTCACATGTATTTTTTAATTATTATTAATGAGATGTTCTGGTGTAATTTTATATTTATTCCATTCGTTTTTTTTTCGTCCATGAATTTACATTACAAACAAACAATGTTTTTGTTTAAGCTTATTCTGTTCCTTTAAAAATTATTCATAGTTTTTTAAGAGTAATGATTAAGTGTAATATTTTGATTCAGTTAGTTATGAAAAATTGCAATTCATTTAGGATATATTTGTATTTTAATGTATGAAATTTCGTAACTGACATAGCTCGACATATCGATGAATAATCTAAAAATACTTGTTCATGACTTATTACTGTTTTGAAAACCATGTTGTACACAATCACGAAGACCTCCTGACGACCCTAAAGTGCGGAGCGCGTTTTTGCAAAAACTAGCTGCGAACCATAAATTCTCAGATTCAAGTCCGGGCAAGCTAACCAGTAGGCCACGTCAGGCCCAGACGAAATGGAAAATAGTATTATAATATGCTCAAGCTCTAATATAGTTATTTTTCTGTGTTTTGTGAAAGAATCATCATTATGTTATCAACGATTTGGCAACGTATATTTTTTAGTAAAGTGATTTGGTGGTGGCTAAATCTGCACTTCATACTGAGCTTAACGCAAGTACCATTCTATATAAAATGTCTTATTTATGAGCTTCTTGTTTTCAACTTAAGATTTCCACACCTTTGACTTTGAAGTGCCTGATACGTTTTCACATGTGGGGCGCTACTTTTGTCACATTCTATTCTTAATAACATATATTATCTTTAGATTAATTATACCTTTTCCTATACACTTCGTTTACAAATGTTTCAGAATTGCACTAAGAATACAGACGTACTCGATGTGTATTTGTATCTTGGTTTTTGAAGTGTACAATTTTCGTCCGTTTGGTATATGTTTCAGAACAGTGTCAAACCGATCCTGATGTGCGTTCAAGCGTATATTTTGAAGAATCTGTTGTTTCCAAACGTCAGTAAGAAAAATACTCGTAAAGCTTCCGCTGATGAAAGGTACCTGGTATAGACGGCAAAAAACATATTTTATTAACGTTCAGCTCAATGTTGTTTGTCCATGTTCACTTCTATGTGTTTTTCAGCTATATAGGTGGAGTTGATCACGATGTCACTATCTGGGTTTAATGTCATTTTAGAGACCTTCAGATAATACAGATGAGTTGACCTCGACACCAGTATCCGAGTAACTTTAATTTCGGAGAACTTTAGAACATACAGGAGTTGATTACGATGTCACTATCTGGGTTAATGTCATTTTAGAAAACCTAGGAACGCACAAGTGAAGTTAATTTTAGAAAACTTCACAAAATACATGTGGGGCTGACCTCGGTGCTAGTATGTGAGTAACTTTAATTTTAGAGAACTTCAGAACACGATGTCAGTATCTGAGTAACTGTAATTTTAGAAAATTTCAATAAATACAGATGAAGTTGATCATGGTGCCAATATATGAGTAACTTTAATTTAGAGAGATAACGAACATGTCAAATGATCTGTTCTAGACATGTGATAAAAAAAGAAGATTCATACATTGCTTCACAATGTATAATAAGACACGATTTCACATTTCAAATTTTTCCCATTGTATAGCTCGTATGGCGATTTCTGTCGCTTACAACATAGAAACGTATTTGAATTTTAGTTTAACATTAAAAACGTTGAAAACAACAATAAAATGGATATCCAATATTAATTCTGGTAACGATCTTTGTCAGCAACTTTAAATTGTTTTTATACAGTTTAACTGAACACAAGAATTATGTTATAAAAGATAGAAATTTTATACTTTTATGTTCTAAAATATAACATTTTAAACTATCAATCACTGAAAAATCAGGTTTGTCTGACAGCATAATTTTTCATAAGTAATGATAACAGTAACAAACCTTTACGGCCATCAAATCCTAAAACAAAATAAACGTTAAACATATATACATATACATTTTACTTTACTTTACATTTTGAAGAAAAGAAAAATTGTTTTCCTATACAGAAATATTCAAATTACTAGTTGAAATGCACGTACTGTTACGTATGAATAAAATGAATTTACATCAGTCTTTATACATTTTCAAAGTACAGTTGCTAAATATAACGATAATTAAACAAATAAAACACTAAACAGTAATCATGGGGAGAAACTACAGCCATGATTACTGTGGAGTGTTTTATTTGTTAATTATCGTTATATTTAGTTACGTATGAGTATTTAATATTAAAGATTGATTAAGATCGATAAAAACATATTTATTTAAACTTTTAGGAAGGTATAAGTTTTTGTTCCCAAAACAGCTTTGAAGCCTTTCGAGAATGATGTGCAAAAATACTTTCAATGTGTACTCTAGCTTCACATTAAGTAATTATAAAATCTTTCATCAAACTGAGTTTGTTTTAGGGTTCTTTGTTTTTTTACTTGCCTCAGGAATAACAATATGCACACTAGTTTTACACTAAGTAATTATAGTATCTTTCGTCAAACTAGGTTTGTTTTATGATTCTTTTTTATTCGTCAAAGGAACAATAATGTGTACTTTAGTTTCACGTTAAGTAATTCTATTATATTTCCTCAAACTGAGTTTGTTTTAGGGTTCTTCTTCATCCGTCCATGGAAAAACAAAAAGAAGCACTTCGATTTGCCTTGGCTGATATAGTCTGGAAAGCAGGAGTCGAAAAGTCCAAATGTACGGTCTGTTTACGAGTAAATGAAACCTACGTACAGAAAGATAACCATTACACACCTGATGGTGTGACAGAAAAGGTAAGGAATGTCAAAAAACGTAGATGTCTATCCTCAAACTCAAGGATTCAAACTTGTTTCTTAAACATTCTAAGTATTTTCTTGCTTCGTTGCGTATGATTTGCTATAAACTTATACCTTTAATTATATTAACTTCGACATAAATGTAGTAAAATATAACACGCTTTCAATTTCTCGCTAATTTAAAGGTTAGAGCTTTTAGATATTATCATTATCTGAAGAATTACTACGTTACTAAGGATAAAAATGGTGCACTTGGTGATTTTTTTATATCTGGTAGAATTCGTGTTTTTCCTAAACTCAATTTATCTTACATGAGAGTAATTACTTGTATAACATTTGAGTAAATGCAGTAAGGTGCGCGTGTACAAATAAAGATAATCAGATAAAATTACATTGTATGCACGTTTATCAATTGTTGTTTTTATGCATATATAGCTTCATAATTCTCTACGAAGTAGGAATTTTCGTCATTTGTCACAAAGTAAACAGATATACGTGCTAAGATAATATTAAATACACTCGTGTGGCCGACAAAAAACAAACATACTAATAACTAAATAAATGATAACTAAAGCACATATTTGACAAACTTACTTTCGGCTTTACCAAATATTCTGATTCATTTCTCTTTTCTATTCTTTCAGTTAAGAATGTTTGAGTTTACAAAGTACGAAGACGTTATCAACTGTCTTTCTAAATATCAGTACCTTGTAAGTCGGTTTTCTTTCATTTACGTATAATATATTTACTCTCAGAGGTGTTTTTTTATTTTATAAAAACAAAAATAAGAAAATTCAATTTTTACCTTAAGATGTCTGTTATTCTGCCTTATGAAAATTCGTGATGCTTCGGAAGGAAAATGGATTCATCTATGTTTCCAAATACAATTTCCTATAACTTTATTTTTTACAAGTGTTACGTATATTAGTTGCCTATAACGTCACTGTGCAGTTCTTTTTCATCATTGTTCTACGACAGTTTTAAGTTTCATGACATTATTTATGGTTCAAACTAGTAGTTTGTTACATAGATATAAAAGTTTTAAGAATGTAGTTAAAATAATTGATGACAGATGGTAGCACCTTTAGCATATAAGTGATCTTTGAATTAGCACCCACTGGGATTTACATAACTGCTAAGCACACACAATATTCATTGAAATAAGAAAGTATAAATTAACTGTTACTACTTTAAGTTCTGAGTTCTTTAAGTTTATGAGTTAGAAATTCTCGCTTAAAAGTCACAAGATGAACCAAGAGGGAATCTTCAATAGCCGCGGCACTTGAAATTATTTTAGGCAATATTATAGTAAATTAATCTATGATACATTTTTTTTCCGTTTTATTAGCTATATTTTTGAGCGCCAGCAATACCAAGCGTGGGGCGCGCGTATACCCGATTCTATTTTATTAGTCCTTAAGATCTCTACAAGCCTACCTTCAAATTAAAATTATTTTAGGCACAATTAGGATAAATTAATCTATCAGACATTGGGCGTGGTCAAATATAAGGTTTGTATTTGAAAAAATCATAGCCATTCTATAAGCCACTATGCCGCGGCTAAAAACTAAGTTTTGCCATGCATTATGGGTAGATTTGGAAGTAGTGGTAATTTATTTACCTAAGAAAATAAGTATTAACATGACGTAGAGAAGTTTGTTTGTTTGTTTTGAATTTCGCGCAAAG